AATAAAAAATAAAAAAAAAAAAAGAAGAAAAATCTCGAAGTAATTGTAAAACATATTTCGCGTTAAATCTTCTCTCGATTAAAACTAGATTTTAAATCCATCCTCGAGATGAAAAGAACTCGACTCCCCCTTTCTCTCCCTTATGCAAAAGCGAACAACGCACTTTTCAAGAATCAAATTTTCTTCGATCCAAAAACAACTTCACCCTCTTCCAAAATCATCGATCCCCGATTGAAATCCACTTTTTCCATCAAATCGACACGACTCTTCCCAACCTTTCTCGATCTGTTCCTCGCCAATTACTACTCGTCCCTGATATCGACGAGCAGCGACAAACAGCGATACGATATTTTCCGGATCCGATGGAGGGGCGGCGCACAAACCCGGCGTCCATTCCCATCTTGATAATCGCGCCACACACGCGCGCGGTCGAATGGGTAGGAAAAGTCGCATGTTAAGCCTGATAAACGAAACATAAAAGCACACGTAGGTGGCCGAATGGGTGGAGGAAAGGGCGGAGAGGTTCGGCTCCAAGGGTGGTCGTAGCCGAGCTAGCGCGGGTGGTAGTTGGTATCCGACGTGTACGTATCCAACACCCTTCTCCACACCGCCTATACGAGCGCGCGTCGCGTGTGCATGCACGCGCGATACCCAAGCTGTGGGGACGGGTGCACGATGGCGGTGTACGTTAGCGTGAGCTTGCAAAACTCAGGAGAGGAGAGGAGAGTGGCGGCGGCGAACGAACGCGGGGGTCCGCTCGTGTGCCCGGCCGCTCGACCAACGTTTTTTCCCCTCCTCCTCTTTTTTCTTCTTCTTTTTCTTCTTCCTCTCTTTTCTTTCTTCCTTTTATTCCCTTTTTTCGCCGGTCGATCGATACCGACCACTTATTTTGGATTATTTTCACCGGTGTGCGCGCCTTTCCCCCCCCCCCTCCCCCTCCCCTGGCAAAAAAATGGGAATTCACGCGGACCGGTGCATGGCTTTCTGGTAAATTTTGCCGCGGACCGACGACGTCCGCCAATGAGCACGACACGAAAAAACGTATTAGACCGTGTAACCGGGCAATTTTTGTTGCGCCGTCGACGTGGAGAAAAAAAGAAGGAAGCGTGTGTATATATATATACGTATTTTATATATATATATATGAATATTCTGTAGCATCGGTCGACGTAGCGGCGCCATTCTCGAGATTATGTAAAAAATGCGGGACCAGCATTGTGCCCATTAGACACCGCTGTCCAATGAAACGCTGTAAACGTTGTTCTCCTGGTGTGTCCTGGCTCTTCCCTCCTCGCTTCCCCTTCCTCCCTTTGCCTTTCTGAATTTCTCTTTCCTCCTCTCTCTTTCTCTCTCTATCTCTCGATCCTCCTTCATACGCGCGTGTGCACGTACGCTTGTGTGCATACGTGCGTATCCTATTCCTCCTTCTCCTATCTCCTCGTTTTACATCCGAAAAGCCGAAAAGCGCGTAGCCGCGTAAATGCCGCGGCACGAAAGTGTCTTCTTTTGTCGCGGATGGAACGCGCGGTGTTTTTCCTCTCGTCGTGGGTTCCGTGCGGTTCCGCGATCTTTTCATCGGTGTTTCGCGCTTTTGATCGTTCCCCGGTGAAACGATTACGAGGGGGAGGGTGGAGAGGAGTGGAGGGGAGAGTGGAGGAGGGAAGGGAATACAATTCGCTCGACAATGCGCGTTTTCTTTTTTCTTTTCTCTCTCTCTCTCTTTTTTCTTTTTTTTTTTGCCCCCTCTTTCCTTTCCCCATATTTTCGTTCTAGCTACGCGCGAAGGTGTTGCACGGCGTTGTTGTTTGTTGTTTTTTTCCTTCTCCTATTTTGCTTTAATGACGCGCGCGGAAAAGGAAAAACGCGCGAGGCAAGCGAGAGCGTTGTTGTGACAGACGTTCGCCTATCGCGACAAAGGGGAGTTTTCCGGGGGAGGAACGGTTGACTCTGATCGATTTTGAGATTAGCGCTTCGGAAAAAATGGCTATTTCTTTTTCTTTCTGTTTTTTTTCTTTGGTGGAGCGGGAAATTAGATATTTCGAGGTTTCAAGGGGAGAGCGATAAAGAGGGGGTTAAAAATTTTTGGCGACAGATGGAGGAGAAACGGGCAATGGTTAATTTTAAAAAAACGCAAAGAGTCGTTGCGAGCGGTGTGTACGATGCTACGAGTGCAGAGGGCTTTTTATCTTCGCCAGAGATCGGAACTTTGGTCCGTGAAAAAAAAAAGAAAAAAAGAAAAAATTCCCAATCGTATCAATTCGACGATCTATCCGCAGAATTCATCCTGTTAATTAACTCTTTCACCGTGCCACACTGTTACGTTATACCCGATATATTTCCCCCAAGTTTTTCGGTATAACATCGAAATTGATTAAAATATACGATCGATATCGATACCGAGTGCGTCGGGGCTGAAAATAGCCTAGCTCCAATAGTTATCACGCGGAACTTTCCAGAACGAGAGGAATGAGTTTTAATCAACAAGATTTTGAAGCTCGCTCTTTAAAAACTCTAGAAATTAACGATCATCGATAAAAATACATGGAATCATTTCTCTCTCCTTCCACTCCTTTCTTCTCTCAAAATTTATAAATCAAAACTTATATTATATTATCTCGTGTAAGGATATTGGAAAAATACTCGAGATTTTCCAATTTTCTCGATCTATCAATGAACATTGGGAATGAAGATTGGGAACACGAGACGTTGCAAACGCTCGTCTCTCAGAGCGAGGAGACATCGCGTTCTTGGCGAGAAGCGAGAAGGGTTGGCCCGTGATGTACGGGGAACGAGGGGGGCGGGAGGGGGGCTCGTGCTATTTAAACCACGGACGTATCAATAACGGAGTAGTTTTTGGCGGATTTCATTGATTTCCGATAGAGTTGCGCTGATGTGGAGGGACCTAGGGCAGGTAGGCTACATGCACAACATTGTAATTGATTGGACCTGTGGCCTGATAACCGCTCGGTGACCTCACCACCCGGTTCGATACGCGTACTCGGTCATGGAATAATTATTTCTTCTTTCTCCCCTTTGGATCCTCCCCCTCTGTCCACCGCTTTCCATCGATCGCAATGCCGATCCCGGATTCGAACGTGGCAACGTTTCGAAAAAGAAGATTTTTTTCGAAATTTCAATGTTGATTACGTATGTATTCGATCTTTTCGAAGAGGATTTGGTTATAAATTTTTAATCGTACCCGTGAAACAGATAAAATTACTTATTTTTAATAAATTCATAAATACCATTGTTATCCGATATTGCGTTCGTCTATAAATGAAATTTCGGAGCGTCGAAAATATATTTCCATCTGATTTCTATTTTACCATTTCCTACACTACAGCCGAAATGACAGTAATTCCGTTAATTCAGATACGCTCCAACTGCTATACTATAAATGGATACCTGGCCAAATCAAATTGGGAAACTGGGAATACTCGAAAAATTCTGTCTCGTTTATATTATAGACTTAAAAGCCCGCAAATAAGAGCTTAACGATACGAAAGAAGACGAGCACGATCTCCTCTTTTTAAAAGTAATTTATTCCATGCGACAACCGCGTTCGTCAAAGCCCAACGTCTTGATAGCCCGTCTAACGATTAATTAGAATGCACGAGGAATATCGAGCAATGAATAATTAACCGTCGTCTCCTATTTCTCCTTCCCGTATCATTTTTCCGACACCCGATCGAAAGAAGAGGACTGAATTAACATCTCTGGATCCACTGCTGTTTCACTGCTGCGCAGGTTTAAATAAAAAAAAAAGAAGAAAGAAACTTCTGCATTCCTTGATAAAAGAAAATCGAAAGATCGTTGTATCAATCGTTATATTTTATCAATTCTTCGCAATTAATCGAAGATATTTGAAAATCGTTCGATCCAAAGAATGATCGGATCCAGCTTCTGCATTCCTCAATAAAAGAAAGATCGTTGTATCAATCGTTATATTTTACCAATTCTTCGAATGATCGGATCCAGCTTGTTGGACGCGCGTGCCAGAACGCCCGAGCTACCGTTATATTATAACAGAGACTCGATTATTTGAACATCTATTAGCCGTGAGAGCGAGTAATTACCCCGAGCGCGCCATTAAACGCAGTTTCAAATATTCGAGCACGTTCGATAACCGCATGCTTGATTTTCCGCGCCGCGTTTCACTATTAAACGGGCTATTAAGAGATTTGTTCTGTCGGCTTCCTTTCGGTCGTCCCGAAACATTTTAATCTCGGCAGAATCTCGGCGGGCTGCGTGAATAAATAAAGAATAAAATACGCGATAGATTTTGGAATAACCAAAATTATTCTGCAAGGGAAAGAATATATTTTATCGACGTCGTCGTTGAACCTTCCTTCTTCGCGTGTATAAAATCGATCCGTGAGTCTCTGAAATAATTGGAGAAAATGCTCGGTTTCGTAAAAATCCACTTTGTTTTTGAAACAACGTCTTCAGCGACCGCGTGTGTGTACCGGAAGTTGCGAGTGTCGCAACGAATCGGATTTTCCCTCGCCTCGCGTTGGCCGCTGCCAACGCACAGTGCGTGAGCAGGAAACTTTGGTGGAAGTTACGCAGGATGAAGATACGGATCGTTCGCAAGGTGCAGGAAGAGCGCAATTCCGCGGACTTAGCAACCGAGTCCTGAGCCATCTTCGGTTAATTCCGCGCGATAAACGAACATCTTGCCCCGACATCCGCCATTATGATCGGAGATAGACAGTTTGACGGCGCCCTCTTATCGATCTTACAGAGAGAGATTCTCGCAAAATCATCGCGAATCGTCTCTCTTGCAAACACTTTTCATAACGTTAATTTACGCAATAACACTTCCGCTCGTTCGAAATAATAATTGCAATCGCAACTTTATTCTCCTGATCTCGAAATTATTTGAAAACTCTAAATCTTTAGACACATCTAGGATCTATAATTAAATTATCGATTCGTCGTTTCAATCCTCAGGATCGAATTATTATTATTATTATTCGAAAAAAGTCCTCTCCAGATCTCGAGCGACTCGAAGGAATCGGAAAATATATATCGAGGCAGGATTCTGGAGGCGTTCCCTCTTCCTGTTTCTAACAAAGCGTTCGAAGCGCGACGAGGAACAATCAGACACGAAGCTAGAGAGAGAGAGAGAGAGAGAGATTGCCCCTCGTTCCTCGAACTCTCGAGCGCTGAAATCCTCCGTATTTATCATTTAACATCCGGCTGATTACCTAATTAGCGAAATAACTAAATCGTACGTAGGACAATTTCCACCCTCCTCCCTTCCTCCCTAATGGACACAGATTACACGGGGCGTCATTCGCTGTCATTAGGGACGGGAGAAACGGCCGATGCACGCTTTCAACGCTGCCTCGAGCTCGAGGTGGCTTCGTTCACGGGGCGTGCGAGCCTGTAAATGACTCAACCGTTAGACAAAAAAAAAAAAAAGGAAAAAACTCGTATTCCGAGGAAGAAGAGAGGAAAGAAAGGATGGCAGCGAGAAACGGCCAAACGGTTGCGCGAGGAATAAAGCGTAAGACGGTTTGATGGAATTGAAATATCGTGTATTCCAATATCGCGCGTATCGCGATGGAGTAGAGGATAAACACACCAAATTTCGAAGATTCGATTGTGGCTTGGTTCGCTCGATGTTTATTGTGATTGTACGAGGACGATTATTCGTTGTGCGGTGAAAATTTACTTAATATCCCGTATTCTCACCTATCGATCACTCCTTAATTATTCGTTCGAAGAATAAGACATTCGGATATAATTTCGAATGATTCTTTTCCTAATAGATAATCTTTAAGAATAACGTAGAACGATCTCAAAAATTCCTCTCTCATCAAAGCAAATATAATCAATTGACAGCAAAGTATCACGATTCGTAATACTTTCGCGAGTATTAACCAGTATTCTCTAAATCTTGAATCAACCTTCCCTCTTCCCTTTCTCTCTCCTACTCGAAGGCCAAACAATGCCTCCTTCCATACCTCCACCTCGCCTATCATCTCCGCATCCCACGATCCATTCAATCCCCCCGCAAAAATCCAAGTTCGAGGCGAGGAGAACCGCGGCCGAGCAAAACTGACGAAACTTTCTTGCGATTCTTCCCAACGCGGCGACAATGAAACCGCTCGTTTCGCACGAGCGTCAGAATTTCGATCTTCCGAAGTTGGATGAATCGGTGGCCGATTAGCGAGGGGAGAAGCAGGAAGAAGAAAAGATTCGCAAAGGCGGCCAGCTGCCCGCCCGTATTACGACGAGTTGCCTCGACGGTTGTAAACGTGATTTAACGGTCGGAGGGGGAGAAAAGGGGGAGAGGCGGAGAAGTGTTTGTCGTCCGGTTGCTCCGAGGAAGGAAAAAAAAAAAGGAAAAGGGGAAAAAGAGGAAAAGAAGTAAAAAGTAAAAGAGACCGATCATTACGGTATGCGCGTCAGGATCGGCGTTTGGAATTTCCTCCGCGAAAAGCAATAGCTCGGGACCGAGCTTGTAAATCCCGAGCCAAATTGCCATTGTGCCTTCTCTCTGAAACTTCTTTACCGGAACTTGGGGAACGTCGATAGAGAACGCCCGTCCATCCTGGCTTTTCATCTTCGATTTCGGTCACGGTCCAAGTGCGAGCCTCGTGGAATCGAGAGAGAGAGAGCTTCGCGCCGCTAATTTTGACGAGATTGGCGCGAGAAACGTTTTATTGCGCTTGCTCGATGAAGAGACGCGGTGAGAATTTGTGAGAGAATTTGATGATTTATAAGGATAGGATATTTCCTCTTTTTTTTTTTGGTAATTATCGTTCAAAAGATTGGTGGATCGTGTCGAGTTTCTAGTTTTCGAAGGATAGAGAAGAATTGGACTTTTTAAGTAATGTATAATTCTTTTGGAAGAGATCGATTACAATTTATCCGAAATTATAGAAATCGATACTATTTTCTCATATATATTTTTTTTTTTTCACTTTTTCTGTCAACCATTTTCTCTTCCCCCTTCCTAAAATAATTAAAATTTCAAAGGTTAAATTTTCAAACGGGGAGATTGAAAAAACGGCGGCTTGATGGATACGGTTGGCGTTCGCTGCGGGTTTACCGGTGTGATACAACTTCCGGTATTTTTTTCCCTTCTATATTAAATTGGAGGAAGACGGAACCTAGGCGATAAAAGTATGATGCAAACGCTGTCTACCGTTGCATCTCGCCCACGAGTGCACGCGTGCGTGCGTCTGCACACGAGGACGGATGCGTCCCGAACCGTAACCGTCTTTCCTCGTCCGGCCAAAGCCGACGTCTTTCTTAAAAATTCACACAATTAATTTTCATTCAACCACGCTTGTTTTCGATCGCTCGAAGAAAACACGTTTATTACGTAAAAACGTAATAAAAATAGTAGAGTATGCACAACCTCTCTGATGATTCCATGATTGGAGAAATAAATTTATACCTTCCAAGTTTAGATAAACGCTCGAGATAATTTCCATCGAACGAATTTAATTCAGAAATTCGAACGTACTTCGATTATTTTCCTCGTGATTCACATATATATATATACATTTCCATCACGCAACGAATAATTTTAACATTGTTTAAATATACCAGCTCTATCAAATAAAACTGTAATAAACAAACAAACGTATCTCTTACGATGCACGTTAACGTAAGTCATCGTACACGTGGATACCGATGCCGCGATAATAATTAACATGCGACGGCCGGCCAGCTCTGGCGATCTTTGAAGGTCGAGCCGCGCCACTGCTTCCTTATTGTGAGCGTGGCTGAGCGGGAAGAGGAGCGGGTAAACAGAGGAGCGAACGAGAGAGAGAGGGAGAGGAGGAAAGAACCGCTTGTACATTAACTTCACGGCAGGCCGCGTGTACGCGCGAGTTTTATACCGTGCATAGCGGCTACTGTCTGCGCTCATTACGTAGGCGCAGCGATTTCAGAAATACGGGGGTTCGTCCGAGGAAACCCGATCCTTTTATCTCTCTCCTCCCCCTCCGCCCCCTATACGCAAGATTGGCAGACACGGGCGAATTCCACGATGTCGACTCGATCTTAACCTCTTCGTTCCCTCGAGTTTTTGCATTTTACCTTCCAGGCTTTATGGAGATGAAACGTTATTGGGAGGCCGTCTTTTAAGGAACAGAGGATGCTTCGTTGATTGCGGAGAATTTGGCTTTTACCATCATAATGTATACACATACGTATATAAACTGAGAAGATGAAATGATTCGAGAAATATTTAAACCTGTTAGTTAACGAAGAGTGTGTACAAGAAATTGTCATTTCTTAATGCAGCCAACGAAAGAAGAAAGACCATGGAGATTTTAGAACGAAGGCGGTCGAATCGATTATTAAAAACGAGATATAATACATACTCAAAAGTACAAAAATCGGAGAAGGAAACGATTCCACTTCCACGTTAAATTTACTTTTTCTCGTTTAAAAAAAAAAAAGGAGAAGGAAGAAAAATCATTTTTAACCCTCGTCCGCATTAAACGGCCGCGCGACTCGACTCGATGCACGGTCGTTAAGTGTTTTCCCCATTTTTCTCCCCGGATAATAACTCGCGTCGAAACGAATCGAAAATGTATTCTTCGCGCTCGGCGATCGGCGGTTCGATTGGATCGCTTTCATCATTGATATGCATATAAGCAGCGCTTGCGATGAATAGCAAGATCGATATCCACGGGTGAAGTGACAAATAATAAAAAAAAAGGGGGGGAGGGGAAGGAAAAAAAGGAACAGGTAGAACAACAAAGGTAGAACGGAGAGAGAAGAGGCGAAAGGAAGAGAGAGAGAGAGAGAGAGAGAGAGAGAGTAGGTAACGGCGC